TGCTAGGGATCGAACTCAGGTCCACTAGAAGAGCAGTAAGTGCTCTTAACCACTGAGTCATCTCTCCAGCCCAGAAGAAACATTTTAGCAACATATTTAACTCAACATGCCTAGAATATCTCAACCTGTAGTTAGTAAGAAAAATAAAGGGGCTGGAGATATGGCTCAGTGGTTAAGAGCACTGACTGCTCTTGCAGAGGACCTGGGTTCGATTCCAAGCACCCACATGGCAGTAACAACCATCTGTAACTCCAGTTCCAGGGGATCCAACGACCTCTTCTGACCTCTGTAGGCACTGCACAATACAGGTGTACTTACATACATGCAGGGAATACACTCATACACATAAAATAAAAATAATTTTTAAAAAAAGAGAGATTCCTTCCTCTGACAAAGTCTATTATCCATGGCCCACTTCCACTGAAGTGCTTCAACCACCTAGCTGAACTTCAGATAAAGGATTGAGGATGCAATGACTTTATGTTCTTTCCCTCACATTGTTTTCACACACTCATTATATTTGTTTTGCTTTGGATAACACAGACACACAGATGTTCACCTGGGTTGAATCTCAGTCAACAGACTTTTTATCATTTTGGATTCACAATTAGAGGTATAATACTGAAAATAGTGAAGCAGAGTTTGACTGAGAGAATTAAAATGCTTAGAATGGTGCCTGATACGAGCAAATATTCAATAGTTAACTGTTACCATCCATACTTCAAATTAGTTCAGTTGACTAATCTAAAATTATATCGTTCTATTATTCCCAACAAAAATTATGCATTTCATACTTAAATTTTCTTTCCAAAGCTAATGAAATTTTCAATCCAATTACAAACTAAAAAATGATGTGATTTATATAAGACACACAAATTAAAAATAAGTCTTTTTCATCCTTGTATTCTCAGAAATACCACACTGCCATAATAAATGTCCAAAAACACACTCATCTTAGATCAAAACAGAACTGTACCTATGTTAATAATTGGTAAGCTGAAAAATGCGAACAGAAAACTATCAAACCTTAAAGCCTGTGGAAGAATACACTGCAGAGAAGCAAGCTAGTAAACCACACTAAGCCTTGGAAGTACTCAAAAATTAAGAAACACTGAGGTACAACCGAAGACTGTGCTGGTGCAATAAACTGGGGGGGTGGGGGGGAAATCAAAGGATAGTTTGCAAATGAGAAAAGAGAAATTAAGACCAGCCTATGAAGTTAGTCATTTGTCTTCCAGGACATAAGGAGCTTAATTAAGCCCACACCACAATGAATGAAAAATTAGAAAAATATCAATACATATCATCATAGATTTTAGAATTAGGGGGAAACATCCCAGCATTTGAGAAGAAAATAAAATGTACAAAGAAGCAGCAGTAACTAACATTAGAAAGATAGAATGAAAAACGTTTCAAAATTCTGAGAAAATCCTAGCACTTGAGAGGCTGAGGCAGAAAGACTGCTTGCTTGAGTCCAAGGGCAGCCTGGTTTACACAGCAAATACCAGGCCAGCCAGGGCTATATAGCAAGTTCCTGGGCAAAATTCTGAGTGAAATAATTTTCTGTATAGATGTCTGTCTTAGACATACTATAAATCAAAACCAAATTCAGAATAATAGCATTTTCAGTAGTCTCAGAAAGTTTGTTTTCTACATGTTCCCTTTCTGAAAGCTTCTAAAGGATTGACTTTCAAAAAAGGAGGGAGTAAACACTTTTAAAACTTAAATTTTAGATTTAAAGACAGCAGGATCATCACAAGAAAAGGTAAGAAATTCCCAGCAAAAGAAGTCTCAGCATAATAGCTATACAGCAAGACCAGAGGATAAGTAATATTAACTAGTGTAAGAGGCAGTCTCCAGGGGTAAAATACAAAAGCTGATAAATTATCTGAAAAGGTTACAAATAGAAAAATAAACCCGAAAAATTTAAAACTAAAAATTTTAAAACCTAGCTATAGGAAGGAATCTGTAAATGCCAGAAATTTAAAGAAAGCTAAATAGTCTTAAAAAATATTTTATTTTTTGTGTGTGTATGAGTGTATTGCCTACATGTGTAAGTGTACCCACGTGGTGCAGTGGCCATGGAGTCAGAATAGGGTGTTGGATTCCCCTGGAACTGGGGTTACAGATGGTTGTTAGCCACCATGTGGGTGTTGGGAATCAAACCCAGGTCCTGAAGCAGTCAATGCTCTTGACTGAGCCATCTCTCCAGCCCCAAGAAAGCTAAATAGGTGAGAGAGAGAGAGAGAGAGAGAGAGAGAGAGAGAGAGAGAGAGAGAGAGAGAGAGAGAGAGAGAGAATGACTCCAGGAAGAAAAATATATACATAAAAAGAAATATAACTATAGTATTCTTACTCAACTCAGCAATGGATAAGGCATATATACAGAAACACAACTACACTACAAGGAATGAACAGGAAGAATGCTGTAAGAACTTAAAATTTTCACCTACCATACCCAAACATCAACAGACATTTTAAACTCATGAACAGTAATACACACATATTACTTGGAATGCAGCATCCAAGTTGAAAAGTGTTTTTCCTAATAATGAAACCTGGAAAGCTGTTAATTTTCAAATATTTTAATTTGACTTCCTCAGCTATGTGTACCAATTACTCACACATCAAAGTACGTTTGTGAAAAGGAAAAAAAAATGAAAATAAGAACACAAATTTTATTTATTATTTTTATTTTATATGTGTGTATTGCCTACATGCATGTAAGTGTACCTGTGTTGTGCAATGCCCATGGAGGTCAAAATAGGGCATCAGATCCCCTGGAACTGGAGTTAATGACAGTTGTTAGCTGCCATAAAGGAGTTAAATCATCCTTCCAGGCTCAAAACTCTCCTTAGCAAAAAGTCACCTAAACCTTATGAATTCAAATTCTCTGTCAAGGGCTGGTAAAAAGGCTTAGCAGTAAAGGCACTTGCCCTCAAGCCTGGTAAGTCAGGCTTGGTCCTCATCACCAGAACCCACAAAGTGAAATGAACAGATTTCCTTAATTGTCCTCTGGCCCTCTACACATGTGCGTTCCCCCCCAAAATTTTAAAATGTAATAGAAAAATTCAACTTCTCTGTCTAAAGCAATGGATCCATTTGTCCAAAATATTTAATTTTATTGTTTTTAAATTTTTTAAAGTTTATTTGTTTACTGTGTGTGTATGCATGCACATATGCATGCCACAGTGCATATGTGGTCAGTCAGAGGACAACTTGCAGGAGCCAAGTTCCCTCTTTTCACTATGTGGGTTCTAGAGATCAAACTCAGGTTTGTCAGGCTTGGCAAAAAAGCAACTTTACCAATTAAGCCATCTCAATGGCCTGTTGTTTTGTTTTTGAGAGTCTGTAGTCTAGGCTGGTCTCAAACTAGTGGTACCTTCCTGCCTCAGCTTCCAAAGCACCCAGGTATCCTGAGTATTTTTAAAGGTATAGTAAGACTGAGTCCCATGTCCTCTATATGTTTTCATAGTAAGAAACATTTTTTGTCTTTTTTGAGACAGGGTCTCTCTGTAGCCGCAGTTGTCCTGGAACTCACTATGTAGACCAGGCTGGCCTAGAACTCACAAAAATCCACCTGCCTCTGCCTCCCAAGCACTGGGATTAAAGGCGTGTGCCACCACGCCCGGCAAGAAACAATTTTTTAAAGTTTGTTTTTATTGAATTTTTGTGTATTTCATACAGAACATCTCAATCTTAAAATCATCTTTATACCCCTATCCCCAATGCCACCCTCCCATAGCTCCTCAACTAGAGCCCACATACTGTTAAGGTCCACTGTGTCAAGTCAGAGTCCCCAGACGTTCCCCAGTGCAAGTCCATTCACTGAGGTCTAGTCAGCCTATCTAGAGTCCCTTGTTTTAGGAAGATCAGCTCTTCTTCACCTAGCAGCAATCAGTTGCCAATATTTCTTCATATAAGATTGGAGTCTACTGTTCATTTTCCTAGTTCTATGCTGGGCTTTTGTCTGCGAGAGTTTGCATGGGACTTGTGTATGCTGACACTATTGCCATAGAATCATACGAGCAGGTTCCCAGGAGCTTGTAGGACTGTTTCCGTATGATTCTGCACTTGCTCCCTGGCTCTTACCTTTCCACCCCTCTTCGGTGACAGTCCCTGAGCCTTAGGTGGGTGGTTTAATAAAAGGGTCCTGTCCAAGGGCCAGCATTCAGCAGACTCTTGATCTCTCAACTTTAGTCATTTGTGACCTTTTGTGTTCCTGATCCTCCACTGCATAGGGAACTTCATTAAAGAGAACTGAAAGATTCATTAGTGTCCTTTACCCCTGTTCTAGGTTCAAGAAACAATTTAAGTAAAAAATGTCCTGTTGAATAAAATACAATCAGGAATGAAAATATGTATTTCCTGGGGCTAGAGAGAGCACAGAGGTTAAGAGCACTGGCTGCTCTTGCACAGGATCTAGGTTTAAATCCCAGCACCCACATGGCAGCTAACAACCATCTATAACTCTAGTTCCAAGGGATCAGACACCCTCTTCTGACTTCTGCAGGCAATGTGCAACACAGGTGTACTTACATACATGCAGGCAATACACTCATACACATAAAATAAAAATATGTCCTGAAATTTCATTTAAAATGTTAAGATATTAGAAATGTAAAGATAGACAAACATTGGGCTGGAGAGATGGCTTAGTGGTTAAGAACACTGGTTGTTCTTGCAGAAGACCTGGGTTTGAATCCCAGCACCCACATGGCAGCTAACAACTGCCCAGAACTCCAGTTCCAGGGGATCCAACAGCTTCTTCTGTCCTCTGTGGGCATTGCACAACACAGGCGCACTTATCTACACGCAGGTAATACGTGCATACATATAAAATAAAAATGTTTTAAATTTTTAAAAAAAGAGAAACATCAAGTCACCTCAGCAAACTGATAATCACTGAACTTAAGGTATGGTTTTTATACATTTAAATTTTTCAAATGAGAAACGATGTTCCATCATTTAAAGCTTAACATGGAACACTAAGCGCTTACTTGCTCTTCTCTTTTCTGCTTGCGTAACTGCAGCCCTTCTTCCTCCCTCCTCCTGCGCATCTCATCAGGATTCAGAGATTTGTTCTTGTAACTTTTTAGGCGAAAATTTTCTTTTCCTGGAGTGGTCATGATTTCTAAAAGAGAGACAACAGATGAGTTTAAAGAGTTTTGTTATTCTATAAGCTCAGCCTTAAACATATATATGTCCAGGTTTACACATTGAGACACCAGATGTAGTTATTTTATTTTCAAATTTTAATTAACATTTATTTATTTATTGGGGGAGTGTGCATTTGCTAGCGCACCAGTGTCAAGGTCAGAGGACAATTTGTGAGGGTTAGTTCTCACTTCATCACATGCATCCTGAGGACTGAACTCAGGTTGCCATGCTTGGTGGCAAGCCCCTAAACTCACTGAACCATCTTGTCAGCCCTTTTTTATTTTCAATAGCTTTATTAAAATATACAATTCCACAGTTTTTACTGTATCATCAGGCATGTGCAACCATCATCAGAGTGAACTGAGTATTTTTATCACCTCAAAGAGAAACTGGTTTAACTATCATTCTTAAGTATTTCATATAAACAGAATCATGCAACACATTATTTTGTTGATAGGCTTCTTTTATTTTGCACAATACTTTAACAGTTCCAAATAGTTTGATTTTCTCTGTAGCACATTATCAGCATTTCATTCCTTTTATGGTCAAATAATATTCTATTTTATCCACACAATTATATGACCATATCAACTAATGGGATATTTGGGCTACCTTTTGACTAATATGAAGTATGCTTCCATAAATACTTACAGTCAATATCTGTGCAGACATGCTTTCATCTCTCATGTATATATAATTAGGAGTGATTTTGCTACTCATGGTAACTCTGATTAATCACGTGAGGAACTACTCACTATTCTTCCAAAGTGGCTTTCATCATTTTATATGCCCATTAATACCACATGAGAGGTGTGATTTAACTGAACCATCCTAATAGGAAGTATATCTCATTATAGTTTTGATCTGTAATCCTCTGATGACTAATGAAGCACAGCATCTTCTCACATAATTGTTTTCTAAATGTGTATCTCCCATTTAAAATTCTATCAAATCTTAGGTGGGTATGCTGGCACACGCCTTTATTCTCATTACTGGGGAGAGACAGAGGCAGGCAGATCTCTGTGAATTTCAGGCCAGCAGGGCTACATAGTGAGGCCCTGTCTCAAAACAAACAAACAAACAAATTAGATCCTTTGTCTATTTTTAAATTCGATTACTTATATTTTCATTATTGAATTGTAAGAGTTCTTCATACATTCTGGATAAAACTCTTACCGGTTATATAGTTTGCAAATATGTTCTATTATAGGTTACTTTTCTACTTTCTTGATGATATTTAGAATTCAAAATCTTAATTTTAATGAAATTCAAAAAAATTTACTTTTTTCTTATTCATGCTTTCGGCATTATATCTAAGAATCCTTAACCCTGTGTTTCTAAGAGTTTTGGGCATGTTTACCTCTTACAGTGGTCCATTTTGAGTTAAATTTTTGTAGATGAGATGAAATAAAAGTTGAACTTCATTCTTTTGGATGTGTCTATGCAGTTTGCCAAACAGCATCTGGTGAAAAGACCATTCTTTTTCTTTTGGCATTTACTAGCATTACTGTAGAATAAACACTTTTGTCTGTCCAAAATTTGTATATGAAATCCTAAGTCCCCATATGCTGTTTTGAGGTAGATCCAGCATGATTAGTCATGATGACAATCAGGAAAGGGATTAGCTCCTTCATAAAAGACACAACCAAAGAGTTTGCTTGACCCTGTGTCAAGTGAAAAAGACACCCATCTATGAACTAGGAAGTAGGCTCTTGCCAATTACTGAATCTGCGGAACCTTAGTCTTGTACTTTCCAGCCTCCAGAACCTTGAAAACGAATTTCTATTGTTTGAGGCACATAGCTGCCTAGTAGACCACAGTAGCATCACACAGACGTATACATGGTTTAGCTTTATGACTTTCAATTCTATTCCTCTGACCTCTATTTGAATGCCTCTGTCAATTCCAGTCTTGGTTATCAATGCCTTGTTTTAAGTTTTAGAATGAAAATGTTTCTGTCTTCTTACATTCTTTTTACAAGATGGCTTTAGACATTATAGAGCCTTTGTAACTTTCCACATCAATTTCACAGTTTGTCAAGTCCTACAAAGTCAGCTCAGTTTCTGACCAAGACTGTAATGAATCCATAGATGAATTTGGAGAGTACAGCCACCTTACAAGTTAAGCATTCCAATTTATGAAGGTAAAATATTTTCTATTCAGAGTTTTAATTTTTTCTAACAATGCTAGTGCAGCATTCAGAGTACAAAATTTAATTTATTTTGTTAAACATATTCCCAAGCAGTTTCTATTTTCTATGCCCTGGTGAATGGATTATTAATTTCATTTTCAGATTATTCTTCACAATTCTACAGAAATACAATAGATTTGGGGAGGGGGGCTGTCAGTTTGAGACAGGGTCTTATATAGCTCAAGCCAGCCTCAAACTTCAAGTCTTCCTGCCTCTACCTTCCAAGGGATTAATGGGTGTGCACCACCCACACCCTGTTTCAACTGATTCTTAGATATTGGCCTTAGAAATCCTAGAATATTGCTAAACTTATTAATGTTAACATCATTTTAGTGGACATACAAGATCATTTCTTATACGGACAGATAATACCTTTTAGTTTTTCTTGCTTAACTTTCATGGTCAAAAGCCTTCAGTACAAAGTTGAATATAAGTGGAGAACAGACATCTTTGTCTTGTTCCAGATTATTACAGGGAAAGCAACTATTTAGCATTAAATGTAGGATTACCTTGGGGTTTATCATAGATGTGGTTTATCATGTTAAGCTCTCTTCTATTCCTAGATAAGTGCTTCTATCACTAAAGGGTTTTAGATTTTGTCAAATACTTTTTCTGTTTACTGATATAATTTTTGTGTTTTATTTTACAGACTTTGCATTAACTTGGTTTAGACTTTAAATTGGTCTTGCATGTCTAGGGAAAAATCCTATCTGACTATGCTGTATATATGTTTATATACACTGTTGGACATCATTTCCTAATATTCTGTTGAGGGTTACGTTCAAGTTATGATATTGGTCTGAACTTGTGGTGCCTTAGTCTGGCTTTGTTATCAGAGTAAGGAGGGCTTTATGAAATGAGTTGGGAGTGCCCCCACTCTCTATTTCTTAAAAAGACTTAATATTGAGTCTTTAAATGTCTGGTAGTATTCAGGAGTGAAGCCAAGCTTTTCTCTGTGAGCAGTTTGTGACAACTAGCTCTAGTTCCACAATTTATATGCCCAGCTAGGTTGTTTAATCCTTACTGAGATAGCTTTGATCTTTTCTTTGGAGAAATGTGTCTATCTCATCTCAACCTTTAATTTATTGTGATACAGCTGTTAACCATATTTTTATAATCCTTTTGATTTTTATAAGGTCAGTAGGAAGATTCCCCAAATTTGCTTCTAATTAGGACACCATAATCCTCCCCCTGCTTATAGCTTTCCTTTCCAAAATTTCAGATACCCATGATCAACCACAATCCAAAACCCAGAAAACTGAATAAATAATTTAACAACTTTTAAATTGCAGATCATTCTAATTGTTGATGAAATCTCACACCATTCCACTCCATCCTACCATACAAATCATTCCTTTGTCCAATGTACCCATGTTATATATGTGATCCACCTGTTAGTCACTGAATAGCCATCTTGGTTATCGAACCAAATGTCATGATACTACAATGTTTGTATATAAAATTCAGCATGATCTGGTTTCAAATATCCATTGAAGAGTGTTAGAATGCATCCCCCACAGATAAGGGAAGGAAACTGTACTTGGTTTACACTTTATTTCCATGTTGACCTATGCACTGGCTGCTCTTGCAGAGGATCCGGGTTCGATTCCCAGCACCCACACAGCAGCTAACAACTGTCTGTAACTCCAGTTCCAGGGGATCTGACACCCTCTTCTGACCTCCATGGGCACTGCATGACACAGGGGCACTTAGATACATGCAGGCATTGCACTCATACACATAAAATAAATAAAAATAACAAAACATTTTTTAAAAAAGAGTTCAGGGTATCCTCAGCTACATAGGAAGCTCAAGGCAAAGGCTACCCTGGGCTACAGCAAAGGGTCTATCTCAAAAACTTTTTTTTTTCAATTAGTTTTCAAAATCTGAAAGGACTGTTTTCATAAAAATTAACCTCTCAGTTGTTTCTTCTAAATCAACTCTTAGCTCTAGCCGAGGGAAAACCCCTCGGAACTCCCAAAGGCAAGAAAAAAATGCTTGTTCACAAAAAGTTCACTTTACTGGTCATGTAATAAAGAATATACTGTGTGTGTGTGTGTGTGTGTGTGTGTGTGTGTGAGAGAGATATGACTTTTACACACACACACACACACACACACACACACACACACAATTTTGAAACACGGTCTCATTTATGGGGCCTTGGCTGGCTTGGAACTTGCTATGTAGACAACCAGGCTGGCCTTGAACTCGTGATTCATCTGCCTCTGCCTCACCAAGCACAATGTGTATACTAAGAAAGCAACCACTTGGGGCTGAAAAGACAGTTCACAGGTTAAGAGCGAACACTGTTCTTACAGTGGACCTGAACTGAATTTTCCAGCACCCATGTTGGGTGGTTCACAACCACCTGCAACTCCAGCTCCGGGGGATCCAACACCCTCTTCTGACCTCCACAGGTACCTGCACTCACATGCACATACCCACACACACATATTGTAAAAAAGAAAAATCAGGGGTGGAGAGATGGCTCAACAGTTAAAAGAGCACTGGCTGCTCTTGCAAAGGACCCACATTCAATTCCCAGTACCCACATGGTGGCTAACAACCATCCATAACTCCAGTTCCAGGGGATCTGATGCCCTCTTCTAACCACCTCAGGCACTGCACAACATGGCTGCGCTTAAACACGTACAGAGAATACACTCATACACATAAAATAAAAATATTAAAAAAGCTTATACTGTAACTTGAGCTGTAAGAAATTCAAAATATGAGCCAGGAACAGTGGCACATACCTTTAAACCCAGCACTCAGGAGGG